CCCCCCCCCCGCCCACTTTATTTTGCTGTGATAAACACTGTGATGAGCATTTTTACAGTTGAGTCTGTTCCAATCTATGCTTTTTTTTGGTGGACTTAGGGGATGTAAAGACAGACATTTAATGCTAGATTGTGCCCTAGATGTGTACCCATTTGTATTCCTACAAAACAGGTATATCTTTTCTGTTCCTGTGTTGAGTATACTGTCAGTAGAACTTTCTCCTTGGTTTTTTCCTTCTCCCCCAAATGCCCCCTGCTTCTACCCCACACACACATACATGTATCAGGTCTGGAAATGAGGTCAGATCTTTGTGGAGGATGGACTGGTCCATAGTGGTGTCACATCTTGACTGCGGTCAGGGCTAGAACACTGCTTGGTTCCTCCCTGTGCCAGGTCAAAAGTGGGTTTGAATTAAAGCCTTTTTTTCTTTTCTTTTTGAATTTTATGTTAGTTTCAGGTGTACAACATAGTGATCCAGTTCTGTCTGTGTGCTATACAGCACAATAAGTGTATTCATCATCTCTCATTGTACAGTGTTATTACAATGTTACTGACTGTATTCTTTGAGCTGTACTTTTTATTCCTCTCCATGACTTACTTATTTTATAACTGGAAGTTAGTACTTCTGAATCCTCCTCACCTTTTCACCCATTACCATTGCCTGCCCAGCCCAGCAACCACCACTTTGTTCTCTACTTATGAGTCTGTTTCTGGTTTTTGTTTTGTTTTGTTTTTTAGATTGCACATATAAGTGAAATCACATGGATCTTACGGTATTTGCCTTTCTCCGTCTAACTTCACTTAACATAATGCTCTCCAGGTCCATTTGTGTTATTGGAAATGACACCTCATTCTTTTTTTTGTAGTTGAGTAATATTCCACTGTGTGTGTGAGAGTGTGTGTGTGGATGTATGTGTACATACATATACATGACATCTTTATCTGTTCTGTCTTTGGGTACTTGGGTTGCTTCCGTATGTTGGTATTGTATATAATGCTACAATAAAAATAGGAGTGTATCTTTCCAAACTAGTGTTTTCATTTTCTTTGGGTAAATACCTAGTAGGGGAATTATTAGATCACATGGTACTTCTGTTTTTAATTTTTTGAAGAACCTCCATACTGTTTTCTGTACTGGCAGCACCAATTTACATTCCCACCAAGGTGTACCAGGGTTCCCTTTGCTCCACCTCCTCACCAGCTCTTACTGTTTCTTGTCTTTTTGTTAGTAGCCATTCTGACTGGTGTGAAGTGATATCTCACTTCACAAAGTGGTTTTGATTGCATTTCCCTGATGTGAATGATGTTGAGCATCTTTTCATGTGTCTGTTAGCCATTTGATCTCTTCTTTGGGAAACTGTCTATTCAGGTCTTCTGCCCACTGTTCAGTTGGGTGCTTTTATTTTGGTGTTCTTTGTGTATTTTGGATAGTAACTCCTTATCAGATTTATTTGCAGATCTCTCCTCTCGGTCAGTAGTTTGGTTGTCTTTTGTTTTGTTGATTGTTTCCTTTGCTTTGCAGAAGCTTTTTAGTTTGATGTAGTCCTAATAGTTTATTTTTGCTTTTGTTTCCCTTGCCTAAGAGATCCATAAGTATGCTGCTAAGGCTAATGTCCAAGAGATTATTGCCTGTTTTCTTTTAGGAGTTTTAAGGTTTCAGGTCTCACATTTAGGTCTTTAATCCATTTTGAGTTTATTTTTGTGGCTAGTTTACGAAAGTGGTCCAATTTCATTCTTTTGCACGTAGCTGCCCAATTTTCCCAACACCATTTGTTGAAAAGACTGTTTTTTTCCCACTGTATATTCTTGCCTCCTTTGTTGTAGATTAATTGGCCATATAAATGTAGGTTTATTTCTGGGCTCTTTATCCTGTTCCATTGATCTATGTGTCTGTTTTTGTGCCAGTATCACCATTTTGGTTACAGCTTTGTGTAGTATATCTTGAAATCTAGAATTGTGATACCTCCAGCTTTGTTCTTCTTTCTCAAGATTGCTGTGGCTGTTTGGGGGTCTTTAGTGGTTCCATACACAAATTTTAGTATTGTTTGTTCTAGTTATGTGAAAAATGCTATTGGTATTTTGATGGGGATTGCATTGAATCTGTAGATTGCTTTCAGTAGTATGGACATTTTAATGATACTAATTCTTCCAGTACATGAGTGTGGTGTCTCTTTCCATTTATTTGTGTTGTCATCAGTTTTTTTTCATCAGTTTGTCCTACAGTTCTCAGAGTATATGGTCTTTTACCCTTTTGGTTAAATTTATTTCTGGATATTTTACTGTTTTCGGTGCTGGTGTTGTAAATGGGATGGTTTTCTGAATTTCTCTTTCTGCTACTTTGTTATCAGTGTATGTAAATGCAACAGGTTTCTGTGTATTTTATGTCCTGCAATTTTACTAAATTCATTAATTCGTTATAATTTTTTTTTTTTTTTACTTAGAGAGCGTGAGCTAGGGAGAAGGACACAGAGAGGGAGGGAGGAGGGTAGAGAAAGTGAGAAAGAGGGAGAATATTCCAAGCAGGCTCCATGCTCAGTGCGGAGCCCACAGCTGGGCTTAATCCTGGGATCATGACCTGAGCTGAAATCAAGAGCTGGATGCTCAACCGACTGAGCCACCCAGGCACCCCAGTGAATTCATCTATTCTAACAGTTTTTGGTGGAGTCTTTAGTTTTTGTGTATAGTGTCATGTCAGCTGCAAATAGTGATAGTTTTACTTTTTCCTTACCAGTAGGGATGCCTTGTATTTCTTACCTGGTTGCTGTCGCTAGTACTTCTAGTAATGTGTTGAATAAAAGTGGTAAGAGGGGAGGGACATCCTTGTCTTGATCCTGATCTTAGAGGAAATCTCTTGGGTTTTCACTGGCCACTGGCTTCTTTGTTTCAGGTTACACTCCTGGCACACCTTACAAAGTGTCCTGTTCCCCCACCAGCGGGGCAGTGCCACCATACTCCTCCTCCCCCAACCCCTACCAGACTGCTGTGTACCCTGTGCGAAGTGCCTACCCCCAGCAGAGCCCCTATGCACAGGTAGGCCTGGGTGTGCTATGGGTCCCTTAATTAAGTGCTCTTGGGCATTGTGTGTGTGGGAAGGGTTGGTTCTCTCTGGACTCTGACCCATGAGGTGTGGAGCCCTGTGGTATTTGTCTCTCTTCCTCCCTGCAGCAGGGCACGTACTACACACAGCCCCTGTATGCAGCACCCCCTCATGTCATCCACCACACCACGGTGGTGCAGCCCAACGGCATGCCAGCAACAGTGTACCCTGCTCCCATCCCTCCACCTAGAGGCAATGGCGTCACCATGGGCATGGTGGCTGGGACCACTATGGCCATGTCAGCAGGTGAGTCCTTGACCCTGGGTTGCCTGTTTTATGAGAGCCAGGAGACGGGAGAGCTCACTAATTCTCTGACCCTTGGTTTGATTTTTCAATGGCTTGAGTTGTGTGGAAGGACATACTCTTTGGGAAAGGAACAGCATATGATCCTTCTTTCCCTTCCTTTCATTTCTTCCCCTTCTTCTTTTGGTTGAGAGGAGAGGTGTGACCAGCCAAGAACCAAGTACCCTCCCCATGGGGCATGAGTGGATAGTGATCAATGTATTAGACAGGTGAGCTGAGCCCTTAGCAGTAGGGCTGAGGGGCATACCAGTGAACATACCAAGCTTGGGCAGAAGGTGATCACTTTGTATCTGGGTGGGCTGGCCTTCCTGATAACTCCCCTTTAGTGTAGGCTGCAGGGCAAGTTGTGTGAATGTTGGTGTTTGCATGAATCTAGGAAAGCTGGCTTTGTGTTCATGGACATAACAGCCTCTTATAGAAAATCTTTGGCATTGGTCACCTTTATTTCCCAAGGCTTCCCTTTCCCTTGCTCAGGAAAATACATCACAGAGAGATGAGACTCCTGGCTAGGATGTGCATATCTCCCTGTGAGCCCCCAGTGGGCATGTGGGTTGTCTGTGGCACGCAGCCAAGTACGGAAGATGTCATTGCTTGCCCATGGCTGTGTGTGTGTGTTTTAATATTGTTCCCTCCCTCTCTCTTTTTTTTCCCCCTTTAACTCCAATATAGGGAGATTGTGCCAGAGAGAAAGGTGTGTTAGGATACCATGTGTGTTTCTGCTCAGAGTCTCCCTTGTATTTGGTTTTCCCATACTTTTCTGTGAAGGCACAGACAGAAACTGCATGTTTGAGGCACGTGAAGGGAGAGATGGCAGGCCCTGGGTTGGTTGTGGGCAGGAAGATGGGAAGTGAAGAAAAGCAGGGTGAGGCCGTTAGGTTGGAGGTTATGCTGATTTACAGATGGACTCAGAGTTGCTGAGTTTTCTGCAGATATAGGGAAAATACATTTATCTTCATGTACTTACAAGGTCATGTAGTTTAGAATCTCCCTCCTTCCCTCTCTTTAATTTTTACTCTCTTAACCATTTTTAACTGTATTAGTTGAGTAGTGTTAAGTATTTTCACATTGTTGTAAAACAGATCTCTTTCACCTTGCAAAACTGAAGATCTGTGCTCATTAAATAACAGCTCTCTTTTTCCCCTGCCCCACCCTCCCACTCCCCAGCCCCTGGCCACCACCATTCTACTTTCTATCAGTTTGACTACTTGAGATACCTTATGTAAGTGGAATCCTACTGGGTGTGTCTTTCTGTGACTGGCTTATTTCACTTAGCATGACATCCTGTATATTCATCCATGGGTAGCATGGACAAATTTCCTTCCTTTTTAAAAATTTTTTCATTGTAAAAGCTTATTTATTTGGGGAGGGGTGTTTGGAGGGACAGAGAGGGGGAGAGAGAGAATCTCAAGCAGGCTCTGCACTGTTCCTGAGGAACCCAATGCAGGGCTCAAACTCATGAACTGGGAGATCCTGAGCTGAAGTCCAGTGCTTAACTGACTAACCTACCCAGGCACCTGAATATCTTTCTTTTTAAGGGTAAATAATGATTAATTTGTTGATTATCATCTGATCTGCAAAAATCATTGAGTATGCTTATATGAAGGGAAGGCACAGAGCCTTCTACAGACATTATCATATGAGCTTGCTGTGTTTATACAACTTTGAGTTGTGTATGATCTGAATTCTGACAGCAGTCTAGGTCGTGACCACCCCTCTTCCTGTTAAAGCAGGACAGGCCAGAGCTCTCTTTTCTGGCAGCATGGAGCTGCATGGTGACATAGGCTAGCCTCATGTGGGTAGTGCTGCCTGCCATTGAGACAGCTGCTCTTTCTTCCAGGTACCCTGCTGACCGCCCACTCCCCAACTCCTGTTGCCCCCCACCCAGTCACTGTGCCCACGTATCGGGCCCCAGGAACGCCCACCTACAGCTACGTGCCCCCTCAGTGGTGATCACCCTGCAAATGTAAGTGACTGGTGAAACCTGGGTTGGCTTTTTTTCCAGTACAGAATGACAAATCTATATTTTAAGCACTAACGAGAAAAATGCTTAAATGCCCCTCTTAATCCAAGGGCAGTGTGGCATTTAAAGATTTGTTCTTATTTGGACTCTTAGAAAGTAGAAGGAAGGAAACCATTGAGTACTTGCTGTGTACACTATATACTTTGTTCCTTTCCTAGTCTGTGCTCTAATCTCCTACTGCCTCCTACAGGAACTAGGATTCTGGTTGTAACCAGGAGTCACTCTAAGGTGTGCGGCAACCAGGAGCAGTGGCCTTTCCCACTGCTGCCCTTTCTGGTCCTAGTGGGTTTTGTCCTCCTTGACTTAAATGAAATTCCTTTTTGGAGCAGCGGTGCCAGGGGTGCTCCGTGTGACCATGTTTGTCTTTCTCCCCCTGCCAGGTTTGAGGATGGAGCTGTGCAGTCACATCTTGGAGGTTCCACAGCTGGTGCTGCAGGCCTCGCGCCTCCAACCTGGACTTTCTTCTTAATGCTCTCGACACTTAGCTAACACTACTCTGGCCCGGCCCAGCAGGTCCCAGCGCCATTAGTTTCCAACTGACTCTGTGGGTTGGTCTTAAAGCAATTCCTGTTTTGTGGGCTGCCTGGCAATTTTTTAGCTAACTGTAATGATAAAAAGGGAGTATTAATCTATTCTGAATCATATCTAGTTGAATGCATGTTTAAAAAAAACAAACAAAAAACAAAGCTTGCTCAATCTACCTGCAGTGACTGATGCAAAACCATCATATGCAAAACCCAAAGGAATGGAAAAGCATTTTACAACTTGTATCACTAATGCACTGTTGTAATGTATGCAGAGTCTTCAAGTTATAAGTGTTAAAGTGAATTTCTTCATAGAGTATCTGAAATCCCTTGGATGATTCTTCGGCCTTTGGGGTTGATGTGGGTTGCCAGTTGGTAACGTGGACTTTGAGTTTTCAGCCATCTGTTTCTTTCACACTGACTGCACGGGAAGAGAGTCGCAGGGACAGGAAAAGTGCAGGGTGGGCCACCACTGCCTGGGGCACAGCCAGCTTTCTGGACGTCCCTTTCCTTGCCGTTTAGGCTTGCCTAAACATTGTGGTGTGGACATTCTTAGAGATGATCATGAAAGTATAGAGTTGTATGGCCAGTACAGTTAGGGGCAAGAGGTTGTCTGTGTATCAGCAAAGCAGTTTTCTCTGCCATCTCAATTTTCATTACAAGTCTCCTACACGTAGAGATGAGGTTTTCTGTGTCTTTATTGGGAAAGTTTTATGTAGAATTAAATTATTTTCCTGGGATGGAAGATGTGTGAAGGAGAAACAGTCACACTTGGAGGAGGTATTGGTTTCTCCTTTGTTTAGCTTAGAAAACCATTCGTCCCTCCCGCCCCCAGAAGTTTCAGTACGGAAAACATATGTGGGCATTGCTGTCCTCTACCACTCCCCCACCAACGAAGGGCAAAGATTTCAGCTGTCTGTTACGAAGAAAGTTAAATATTTAAAAGAACTATTAAAAGGGAACAAAACTCGATTTGAAATTGTTTCTTGTAGAGAGGCAGGGCTGTGGCTGTGTTTCAGCCCATCCACCTGAAGGGGCCTTGTCATCTAACACCATCTGGAGGAGACTTCTGGAGATGGGTCTGGGGAGGTGTGAGGGAGGGGCTGGTGCCTCTGGTCTGTGAGCCTTGTCTGCCATCTGTAGCTGAGGGCTCTCAGCACAAAGCAGGTATGGACAGCAAGGGCCCAGGCAGCATCAGAATGCATTTGCCTGCCAGGATTTATTTAGAAAGGAATTTGTGTTTAAAGTCAGAATATTGTATATAAGAAATGAAGGGGATTTTTTTTTTT